GTATGTATATACACGCCCCCTCCTCCTCCCACCTGCCCAATACCCTATTACTGTACACTATGTGCCACTTAGGTGCTACTCAGTTAATATCAGTTTGCTGGAGAATATATGTGGTGCTTGTTTTTCCATTCTTGGGATACTTCACTTAGCAGTATGGGTTCCAGCTCTAACCAGAAAATATAAGATGTGCTATATCCCATTGTTTCTTAGAGCTGAATAGTACTCCATGTATACACATACCACATTTTATTAATCCATTCTTGGATTGATGGACACTTGGGTGGTTTCCACAGCCTTGCAATTATGAATTGTGCTGCTATAAACATTTGAGTGCAGGTGTCCTTTTTGTAGAGTGTCATTGGATCTTTTGGTTAGATGCCTAGTAATGGGATTGCTGGATCAAATGGTAGATCCACTTGTATCACTTTAAGGTATCTCCATATTGCTTTCCACAGATGTTGAACTAGTTTGCAGTCCCACCAGCAGTGTAGGAGTGTTCCTCTCTCTCCGCAACACGCGCATTTATTGTTTGGAGATTTTTGATAAAGGCATTCTCACATGGGTTAGTGATATCTCATGTGTTTTTGATTTGCATTTCCTGATGATTAGATGTTGAGCATTTTTTCATATGTTTGTTGGCCATTCTTCTGTCTTCTTTAGAAAAGTTTCTGTTCAAGTCCTTTGCCCACTTTTTAATGGGGTTATTTGATTTTTTCTTCCTGATTTTCGTGAGCTCTAAGTATATTCTAGTTATCAGTCCTTATCGGATGCATAGGATGCAAAAATTTTCTCATATCTGTTATTGATTTAATTACTACAGCTTTGTAGTATAGTTTGATATCTGGCATATTAATGCCTCCCATTTTGTTTTTGTTGCCTAGAATTGCTCTTGATATTTGGGGTCTTCTTTGGTTCCATACGAAGCGTAAATTATTTTTTCTATATCTGTGAAGAATGCTGATGGGATTTTAATAGGTATTGCATTGAATCTGTAGTTCAGTTGGTCTTGAACTCCTTAGCTCAAAGGATCTGCCTGCCTGGGCCTCCCAGAGAGCTAGGATTACAGGCATGAGCCACCACACCTTAGTTTCTGAGGAACTTCCTATTGTTCTCTGTAATGGCAGCATTAATTTACATTCCCACAAACAATGTAAGAGGGTACCTAATTTCCCCGCATCCTCACCAGCTTTCAATATTGCCTGTTTTTTGGATAAAAGCCATTTTAACTGGAGTGAGATGATATCTCATTATAGTTTTGATTCACATTTCCCTGGTGATTAGTGATGTTGAGCATAAAAAAGAATGAAACAGTGTCGTTTGCAACAACATTGATGGAACTGGGGGACATGAAGTTAAATAAAATATACCAGGCACAGAAAGACAAATTTCACATGGTCTCACTTTATATGTGTGAGCAAAAAAATTAAACGAATTGAACTCAAGGAGATAGAGAATCTAATGATGGTTACCAGAGGCTGGGAAGAGTAGTTGGGAAGGCAGGGATAAAGTGGGGATTGTTAATTTGTACAAAAATACAGTTAGAATGAATAAGATCTAGTATTCAGTAGCATAATAGGATGACTGTAGTTAACAAATAAGTTATTGTATACTTTAAAATAACTAGAAGATGCCGGGCGTGGTGGCTCACGCCTGTAATCCTAACACTCTGGGAGGCTGAGGTGGGCAGATCGCTCGAGGTCAGGAGTTCAAAACCAGCCTGAGCAAGAGTAAGACCCCGTCTCTACTATAAATAGAAAGAAATTAATTGGCCAACTAATATATATAGAAAAAATTAGCCGGGCATGGTGGCGCATGCCTGTAGTCCCAGCTACTCGGGAGGCTGAGGCAGGAGGATTGCTTGAGCCCAGGAGTTTGAGGTTGCTGTGAGCTAGGCTGTCACCACGGCACTCGTTCTAGCCTGGGCGACAAAGTAAGACTCTGTAAAAAAAAAACAAAAAACTAGAAGAGTAGAATTAGAATGTTAGAAACCAAAGAAATGATAAATGCTTGAGATGATAGATACCCCAGTTACCTTGATTTGATCATTACACATTGTATGCCTATACCCAAACATCACATGTACCCCATAAATATTATATATACAACTATTATGTACCCAAAATAATTTTAAAAATAAAAAAGACATGGCTCCTTTTTACTATTGTTGTTCTTATTAACTTTGAGAGACTATGAAAAATAAAAGATCAGAATTGGGAAAGATTTAAATTAGACATATCCATTCAACACATATTGAACATTAAAAAAAGCATATATTATTCTAGAATGATACTATGTGTGATATTAGTGAAGTTAATGAAATAAAGGGATGGTACTTTAAAATATGGTGAAATATTAATACATTAAGATAATTTCATATATGATCTCTTGATTCAAAGATTGAGAAAAAAAGGGAATTCCCTTATATAATAATAGCTGAAAGCTAAAAATCATTACTGTATGAAGTTAGTGATTTACATCGTTTTTCATTTGGTTCTTATCACATTCCTAATACTATACTAGGTACTTTGAATATTATAGAACTAAAAATTTTTTTCTATAACTGTTTAAATACATCTATTTTTCATGTATAATATATGGACAATGTTTTACAAAGTTAAAAACTAATGGTATTGCTACCATTTATTATAGTTATTTTTGTACCACTTTCCAGGTAATATTCTGAAGAGAATCAGGGTTAAGTAGTTTAGGGACCTCCAGTAGAGCTAAAAAGCTATAATGTAGATGTAATTTGTCTTTACCTCTGCCACCCCATCCCCTTTCCTGGTTTTATCCTCTCTGCTGTGATAGCTTTAATATTCCTTCTTCTTTACTCATCTGGATTCCTTTTCCCTATAAAAATATGAATTTAGTGAAGAATGATTTCAATCACTTATGTTTTCCCTCACCATAAGCATAATTTGCATTTAACCCCCATCAAGAGTGAGGATTTTGAAATGTCATTGAATGTGAGGTAGAATATCAGGGGCCCTATGGGGCTTTCTTGCATGCCTAAAATAAATCCATGATTGACATATGTATACTGTATCTGTTCATTTAACAAAGCATTTATAGCAGTGTGCAAAGGAGAAGACACTTGCTTTAGGAAAGTAGAATTCAAAATTCCTGGAAGTTGGTATAGATTTGAAACTAACTTATCTCTACACCAAATAGATGGGACCATATATTTGTATATTTATATTGTAAGCAGGTTGACAATAAAATACGAGAAAAACTTACACCTTTAGCACTTAACAATAGACATGTGCATATAATAAATATGTTAATATGGTAATATCTTTACTCATTAAAGAATGTACAGAAGGCATAGATGATTTCAGCAATCCCCAGTTAGCTGTTCCCACATGTTATTGTGAATAGTTGTGAGTGATAAATTTGCATCTCTTGAAGTTTAGACTTACTTTTTTTTTGAGACATAGTCTTGCTCTGTCACTCCAGCTAGAATGGAGTGGTGTCATCATAGCTCATTGTAACCTCAAACTCCTGGGCTCAAGCAATCCTCCTGCTTCAGCCTTCCAGGTAGCTGGGACTACAGGTATACCCATGCCCAGCTAATTTACTAAGGCTAGTCTGGAACTCTGACCTCAAGCAATCCTGCCTGGGCTTCCCAGAGTGCTAGGATTACAGGCATGAGCCACTGTACTAGCCTAGTTTAGACTTTTTTTTTCCCATTTATTTATTTCAGGATATTGTGAGGGTACAAACATTTTGGTTACATGTTATGACTTTGCCACACCCAAATCATCATTTGAGGCATGACTTCCCACCCTCCTGCAATGCTCACCGCGTCCATTCGTTGTGAGTCTACCCACCCCCAACCCCCTAATCCTTGAAGAATATTACTACCGTGTGAGCACCATAGTGTTGATCAGTTAGTGCCAATTTGATGGCAAGTACATGTGGAGCCTATTCTTCCGTTCTTGTGATACTTCACTTCGGAGGTGCTAGATCACTGTTGTTTCTTATAGTTGAGTAATATTCCATTGTATACATATACCAAATTTTAATAATCCACTCATGAATTGACAGGCACTTGGATTGTTTCCACATTCTTGCAATAGTGAATTGTGCTGCCATAAACATTTGGGTACAAATACCTTTAGTTTAGACTTTTAATGTATTTGGTTTTCCTATTACTGCCTGATAAGTGAGAAATTCCTGTATGTTGAAAAGAGAGTCTCATTTTATACCCTTGAGGAAATAAAATCATTAAGTTTTAATAGTGACCAGATCAGCAACTTTACACTATTTTCAACATAGCCAATAATAGCAATGCCATAATACTTACCTTAAAATACTTTAAAGTAAGTAAGATGTAATGGGAACATTTTTGGCTGTGATTTTGAACTTTTAAAAGGTAGGTAATAGGCATACACAATAAAATCCCAAAATATATAAATGGAATATAGTTCTTTCAGTCTATTCCTGTTCCCCAACTGCCCAATTCCCCTCCCCAGAGGTATCCATTGCTCTCATTTTCTTGTGTATCTTGCAGAGGTAGCCTGTGCATTCCATTCATCTAATATTACTTGAATTATTCATCTATTTTAGATGACTCCAGAACTGATGATAAAAGCATGTACATTTTATACTGGACGTTTAGTAAAGACCCATTTTTGGTAAGAATGTGATTTTTTGTTGTTGTTAGAATATGATGTTATATACTATTTTTTCTTCTTTGTGTTTTCATTCTTGATATTCCCCATTCAAAGAAACATTCACTTTTGGCCAGTTGTGTTGATTTTATCAATATAGTTATGTTTCCACCATTTTGTATTATATGTTTCTTTTATATTTAACGAGCTTTTAGTTAAAATATGTTCTTTATTTCTTTAAAATATAACTTTGTCTTTTTTAAAAAAATAAAACTTCAAAATTGAAAGTATAGGTCTATAGTCCACTTATCTGAAACCCTTGAGGCCAGATATGTTTTGGAGTTTAGATTTCTTTTTTAAAAAAATAATCATCATTAGGGTGATTCTTTTGATAAATTGAAGTTATGACAACAAGACTTTCTCCAGTGATTTCTTTATCTTACCCAAAAAGAAATATAACTGTCATGTAATCTCCATTTTCTTTTAAAACTATCAGGAATTTTCCAGGTCATAATCAATTTGTAGAAGTTTGTTTCTGTGCTATGGTTTTTGAGGGGTTACAGGGGATATCACTTTTTGTTCCTTTTTATTTACTGATGTGTTGCCCTAACATCAAAATATTATTTTTCTGTATTTTCTGCTTGCAGCACTTGGAGAGACATGGCAATACCTACTGTACGTGAAGATGAGGTCCTGGATAAAAAGATGAAAATAGCAGCGGCACGTTACAATTTCAGACTTCAAAAATCTGTATTTAATCGCTGGCATGTTTATATAGAAAATCAAAAAGAAATATTTAATGGTAAATCCTTACACAGTAGCCAATTAGTTTTTGTAGCCATTGATTCAAAGAATCAAAAAGCTAATGGTTAAGTATAGTTTATACACTTAGAAGATTTATCATTTTTATGGTTAGAAAATTGTCATGAAATGAAGGTAAAGCCACTAATTTAAAATACTTAATGAGATTTGTCTCAAAGTATTTTATTGTAATAGAAATTTTAAATATTTAAAATCAAATCTTATATGTATTTACATATATGTATATATAAATATAAATATGATCTATCAGTTTTTTTGTTTTTTTGTTTTTAGACAGGGTCTCTCTCTCTTGCCCAGGCTAGAATGCCATGGCATCAGGCTAGCTCACAGCAACCTCAAACTCCTGGGCTCAAGCTATCCTCCTGCCTCAGCCTCCTAAGTAGCTTGGACTACAGGAATGCGCCACTATGCCTGGCTAATTTTTTGTATATATATTTTTAGTTGTCTAGCTAATTTCTTTCTATTTTTTTTTTTTTTTTTAGTAGAGATGGGGTCTCACTCTTGCTCAGGCTGGTCTCAAACTCCTCAAATGATCCACCCACCTCGGCCTCCCAGAGTGCTAGGATTACAGACGTGAGCCACCATGCCTGGCTTATATCAGCTTTTTTACAGAGTAGCTGGCATATTATGAGTGGGTACCAAAAGTGACTGTTTTTGCAGAAAGCTCTGTATTTTTTTACAAATATTTCATTTAATGTATATATGAAGAAATTTAAAGAAAAAACGTTTTCTCTTGTATAAGATTTTGGTGTTATGATTATGGGAGCTTAGAGGGAAAAAAAAAAGAAGACTAAAAAATAAAAAAAAAAAAAGACTTTGGTGGTTGTAATGAGTGGGCAGTGCATGTATGTAATCTTAGAAGTAGGGATAAAAAATTGTAGCCCATTGTTTAGATTTTTTGTAGCTCTCCAGATAATGCCTTGTTTATGGCTGCTCATACCAGAGAATTATTTCCTTTTGACTGGCTATTGTTGGTACCTCAGGCACAATGGACCCTCCAAAAGTTTTAATGTAAGTGTAATGAAGAGGTGGGGACTGGTTAATTGGTTAACTAGAATTTCACAGGGTTGTAATAGTAGGTGATAACAATCTTCAAAAATCCATAACCTGAGTGAACTAACTATAAGCTCTATAGTGAAAGCAGTTTTGTTTGTCCATTAAAAAGGCCTGTCTAACAATTTCTTTTCCTCTTTGCACTTCTAGATTATTCTTTTGGCTTCTGTATGCCTTTCCCTTTTTTTGTGGTGGGTTCTTGCTTTTCCTTTGTGTTTCTATTTTCACTTTTCTTCCCTTCTTTCAGGGCTTCTCCTGCTTCTGCACCTTCCTTCTTTATTTCTCTCTAATTCTATCTCTTGTCTCTTTTTCTTTTTCCTCACAGTCTCCTTCACTCTTAGGTTGTACCATGTGAACCTGCCAATATTCTTTCTTCTTACCCACCCCCCTTTTCCCCAAATACCATCCACTTGCTGCTTCCCCATATTTCTACCCCTTCTATCTCTTGCCTTTTTTTCTTATTCCTCTCGAATGCACCATTATATAACATAGGAGCATATTTTTAGAAAGTATTTGTTATACTTATGCAACAAGAATTTATATTCTTATTTATAATAAAATCAAGTATTTTCAGAGTTGTACAATCTCTCAAAAATATCCAAGTTATAGTCATATTGTGGTACTTCATGGATGTTATTCCTTTCATCTCTCCTCAAGTCAGAATATGTTCTGCACAGTCTTGATCGTGAAAAAAGTGAAAATTTTGATTGAGAATTTGTTGTCAGAAATTACAAATATTAATAATAAGCCTAACTTATGATTCTCTAAATGGTACCATTAAAATGAATAAAAATTAATAAAACATAACTAACATTTAAACATTTTATTATATTATACATGTGTATAATGCTATAGTAAAGACTTCAATGTCTAAGAAATATTATACGCTGATATAATTTAGAGTATATATAATCTTCTGTTATATTAAGTGGTATGCAAATATGAGTCTCTGATAATACAGCATAGTAATTCCTTCCAGAATTTTTTACTTTATACTTGTTAACTTAAAGGATAAAACCCAAAATCAGCCTTAGCATTGGAATATATGGAAATCTATTGTAGTGGGAAGCAATTCAACCAAAAGGCATTTCACTGAAAATAAATTATAAAAAACCCTTAATATTTTAAAGAAATCATTAATTTCCAAATCACTCTTTTGCTTGTTGATTCAAAAATTTTGAAATTTTGAAGATAATTGTCCTTTAAAAGGTTGCTGAAATTGTACAGTAGATGGATCTGGTTTTGTTTGTTCCTCTGTTTGGGAGCTGAACTTACAACTAGATCTATTCACTTCTCCTGACTGAACCAAAAAAACTTCAGCATAATGAAGAAACAGGTTGTTTAGTAGATGAATTATGTGAACTGAGTAGATAGGCAGTGTTAAATGCTTGTTCATTTTCTACTTGTGTGAGAATATTCCAATTTGAGAGCTATGAATTAACTAAACTTGTTGAGTTCTAGGCTTCCTGAAGAGCTTAGCTTTTAGGACAAAATTGCAAAGTTAGTGGGGCAGTGACCCACAAAGGTAGATGAAAGGGAGAAGACAGAGGATTTAAAATTTCAACCATTGTGTTGTAAACTTGCAGTCCTAATGTTGTGATCTGTTTGCACAATATTTTAAAATTTAAAAAAATTCATTTCCAAAGTTTAAATATAAACTTATATTTATATAAGTCCAGATATCCTGCTTCTTTGCAGAAAAGAAAACAACAAAGAGAAAAAGAAAATAATCAAAGATAAGAAAAATACTGGGTCTCTGTTTCTGAGAGGAAACAGTTGGCTACAGCAGAAATCCACTGCCCTCTGTGGGTAGTATCCCTGAGCCTGCTTTAGTCATCTTCCTTCCTGGCCTCTGTACTTGAGCTATTGGCCCCTAGTTAATGTGCATAAGGTAATCCATTTAAGCATAGAGAATATAATTAAATTCAAAGGCATTGGATCTAAATGCTACCGTATGTCTTATGTGAGTAACTTTTGAAGTTCTAGTTTTATAAAGAACAGACTTGTTTAAAAAAAAAAAAAAAAAGGAAATGGGCCGGATGTAGTGGCTCACACTTATAATCCTAGCACTCTGAGAGGCCGAGGTGGGAGAATCGCTCAAGATCAGGAGTTCAAGACCAGCCTGAGCAAGAATGAGACTCCATCTCTATTAAAAATAGAAAGAAATTAGCTGTACAACTAAAAATACATAGAAAAAATTAGCCGGGCACGGTGGCGCATGCCTGTAGTCCCAGCTACTTGGGAGGCTGAGGCAGGATTGCTTGAGCCCAGGAGTTTGCGGTTGCTGTGAGCTAGCCTAATGCCACGGCACTCTAGCCCAGGCAACAGAGCAAGACTCTGTCTCAAAAAGAGAAAAAAAGAAATGATACATGTCTTGACATTTCTATTGCAGTTATTACATCTTATTTTCTAAAGGCAAAGGTGATGTTTATAGGTTAACAAAATACCCAGAGTACTATTTAATCCTGTCAAAAGTAATTAATTTCAAATGTAATTAAGCCAAATGAAAGTTGTCAGATGTAACACTGGTTCATATTATAAATGTGATAGAATATTAAATCACTTTGGTTTTTTTGGAAATACCTTTAGATATATATAGTAATCTAATACATTTTCTTCAGATATAATAACGCGGATACGGCAGATATTCTGTTGTCACAAGCTGACAGTTATCCTAAAAATATGGCGGGAGAAAGCAAAACGTAAGAATAAAGAGAAAGAAGATGAAATGGTATGCTATATTGGAAACAATTTTTTACGAATCTGAAATTTTCAGTTATATTCATGTTACCTCAGATAATAATGATATGTATAGAAAATACTAAAATCCTGAATATTGTGGTTTTGGCGAGGTCTTTTTTTTTTTTTTTTTGAGACAGAGTCTCACTTTGTTGCCCAGGCTAGAGTGCCATGGCGTCAGCCTAGCTCACAGCAACCTCAAACTCCTGGGCTCAAGCAATCCTTCTGCCTCAGCCTCCCGAGTAGCTGGGACTACAGGCATGCGCCACCATGCCTGGCTAGTTTTTTCTATATATATTAGTTGGCCAATTAATTTCTTTCTATTTATAGTAGAGACGGGGTCTTGCTCTTGCTCAGGCTGGTTTCGAACTCCTGACCTCTAGCAATCTGCCCACCTCTGCCTCCCAGAGTGCTAGGATTATAGGCGTGAGCTACCTTGCCCAGACGAGGTCCTTGTTTTTTTAACTTAATAATTTAAATTTTACTACAGCTACCCCCAAATGTTTCCTAATAGTTTCTGTTGTTTCATTTAAACTATGAATATCAAGGAGAAATCTTTTAATAGTTTTAAATTTATCAATAAAGAAACTAAGAATATTGTTATTAATAAAACAAATATTTAGATGGATAAATTGATGTCTAAAATGGAAGAGAAACTTTGATATGATTGTAATAGAAAAACAAATGGTGAAGACTGAATAAATTTATTCCTTTTCTAGATAAGGTTAAATTGCCATTTATTCTTTTTCAACATTAATAAATTATAGTTTCACTATTAAATAATTCCTTAAATTACTATTGCTAAACTTATAGGATCATTCTTAGTTGGGACACTCAGTAGGAATTAAAGCAATTGAAACAGAGGACACAAATGAACTCTTCCAAACTTAAAAAATTCTCTAATTTGCTTCAGCTATTAGTACATCATTACTTAAAGTTGATTTAGAATGCTCAAAGTAACTACTAGGATCAGACATAGAAACATGCTGGAATTTTTTTGTAGTTCCATTGTTTACTGGCAATATTTTTTGAATATTCTTTGACATACAAAGTTGGGATAAATAAAAAAGAGAAAAATAGGATGAAATTAAATTCCCCCTTTTTTGTGGTTGTCCTATGGATCAATGCACTCACCTAAATTAATTCAAATATTGAGACTGACAATATCACACATGCAGCAAGAGAGTTTGAGAAGATTTATTATTCACATACTGCTTAAAACAGTGCTAGAGCCTGCAGAGAATACTGAGATGTATAAAGCATAGTTCTGCTCTCTAGAAGTTCATGATCTCTGGGATTTGAGCTGGCATCTTGTAGGCTGTTCTCCAGCTGTTGCCTTTTCAATGTTGCCAGTTAAATAGTGCCACTTTGGGTACCATCATGTTAGTCTGCTTATTCAGTGCTTTCTACCACTTTGTGTACCAAGCTAGTGGGTTTTTTTTTCCCCACTTAAATTTGTTTTTAGTTTTGAAGAATTAATGGGTACAAAAGTTTTTGCTACATGGATAGCTTTTATAATGCTTACCGCATCACCCAAATAGTGTTCATTTGTACCTGATAGGTAATTTTTTTCACCTACCCCATTCCCCCTTACTTGATTTCCAGTGATCTTACATCTCTTTGTGTTTATGTGTGCCCATCAATTAAGTCCCAATTATTAGAGTATATGTGGTGTTTGTTTTTTTATTCCTGAGATACTTCGCTTAGGATAATGTTCTACAGTTCCATTCAAGTTGCTACAAATGACATTATTTCATTCATTTTTACGGCTGAGTAGAACTCCACAGGCTGTTTGTATGTGTGCGTGTGTGTGTCTATACATATATATGTACACACACCACATTTTCTTTTTCTTTTTTCTTTTTTTTTTTTTGAGACAGAGTCTTGCTTTGTTACCCAGGCTAGAGTGAGTGCCGTGGCATCAGCCTAGCTCACAGCAACCTCAAACTCCTGGGCTCAAGCAATCCTCCTGCCTCAGCCTCCCTAGTAGCTGGGACTACAGGCATGTACCACCATGCCCAGCTAATTTTTTCTATATATATTAGTTGGCCAATTAATTTCTTTCTATTTATAGTAGAGACGGAGTCTTGCTCTTGCTCAGGCTGGTTTTGAACTCTTGACCTTGAGCAGTCCGCCCGCCTTGGCCTCCCAGAGTGCTAGGACCACACCACATTTTCTTTATCCACTTGTGAATTGATGGCACTTAGGTTGATTCCACATCTTTGCAGTTGTGGATTGTGCTGTGATAAACATTGGAATGCGGGTGTCTTTTTTTTTTATTTGTTTTTGTTTTTTTTATTTTTTTTATTTTTTCACACACAAAGGGTAATAAAATGTGGGTGTCTTTTTGATAAAATGACTTCCTTTGGGTAAATACCCAGTAGTGGGATTGCTGGGTGGAATGGTAAATCTACATTTATATCTTTGAGGAATCTCCATACTGTTTTCCATAGAGGTTGTACTAATTTTCAGTCCCACCAGTAGTGTTTTGTTCCCTGCCCTCTGTGTGTGATGGCTGATTGGTGGTAAAATAGGTGACTGTACATGACCAGTCATTCCCTTTACACCTGCCTTAAGCCAAACATCCAGAGAGCAGACAATATTGTTCTCTTCGTCTTCCCCATACACTGAGCTTATGTTTTACATGCGGTAATTCTGCAGTCCCCAACCCTAGGCCATGGACTGGTACCAGTCTGTGGCCTGTTAGGAACCCAGTTGCACAGCAGGTGAGCATTGAGTGAGTGAGAGCTTCTCTGTATTTACAGCCACTCCCCATCACTCACATCACCTCCTGAGCTCCACTTCCTCCCGATTCTCCATTCTGTCTGTGGAAAAATTGTCTTCCACAAAACTGGTCCCTGGTGCCAAAAAGGTTGGGCAGTGTTGCTGTAGTTGATATATACTATATTATCCTTAATATATATGTGTTTTATATAATTAATTGGATGTTTAGGTGGATGTTTAGAAAAAACCTTTTCTCCTAGATATATGATTTCTTGGCCTAACAATCATTCTTTATTCACTTAAGTAGAGTGAAGGATGGTGGGTGTGTGCTGGGAGCAGAGGGACAGAACACCTTGTATGTGTTAGTGCTCCACATGTGCTCCTCCTTTGGCCCTAATATGTATATATATTACAGCAGTACTGTGTATGTGTGTGTTTATGAATGGAATACTTATTACCCATAGAGCTTTTTATTTATTACACAGTTTTTAGGAATGTACCACAAGTTAAAATGGGGACTTTCTGTAACAGTAAATCAGGCAAGTCCCGAATACTTTCCTTCTGACTCCCTTTTTTGGTTATCTCATTGTTAACTACCTCCCTTTCATGTACCAAATACCATTTCTATCAGGACCAGAGCCTTGACTTTGTGGGCCTCAGCTTTCTCATTTATAAAAGAGGAGACTAGATCAGATCTTCAAGGTGGCTGCCTATTCCATTGTTTTATGACAATTAATGGAAATGATCTATAATGCTTTGGTGGTTCAGAGAATATTAAACATGCACATGGGAAATTATAATTTATGTAATAATGATGATAAATAATGTTTAATTGGTGCTGTTGTTATGTCAAGTATTGTGCTTTATATCTGTCATCTCATTTGAATCTTACAAAAATTCCATGGAATTTGTAAATTATTTTCATTGCAGTTGTTAAAACATGAACTTCAATTGCAACAATGGAAAGATAAGTTAGCTGTCCACGAAACATCCGTTTCTCATGATGAACATAGTTTGTCTAAAGACTATTTTGAAGGTGATACTCAGGAATTTGACATTTCATTGTTCCCTGACAGAGCAATATCACAGGTTTGTATGAATCTAGTACACATTATATAATATAATCTTCCTTTTTATGTATTATATGGAGTTAGGATAAGAGTATTTTTGCCCATTATTTCCTCCTTTACAAATTACTTGCTCATATGTTGTCTGTTTTTAAATTGTAATTCCTATAATTTTTTTACTGGTTTATAGTAGCTATTTACTTATTGGCAACATTAGCCTTTTGTCTGGAATATATTTGGAGATTTTTTCCCCCACACTAATGTTTGCTTTCAGTTTTGCCTGTAGAGTCCTTTGGTGATAGAAATTTTAAAGTTTTATGTAATAAAATCTATTATTCTTGCCCTAATTGTTTCTTTTTTATGTAATATTAATATTTGATTCTTAGTTGTTTTTCTAAGCCACATCACACTCTTTCCTACAATTATGCAGCTGTTTTTTTTTTCTCTTTTAATTCTGTAAAATATTCTTTTAACTATAAATATTCCTTTGTTTACGTTATCACTGGCTGGTCTAGGGTTTACATTTATAAATTTTTAAGATAGCACATATTGCCTTCAAATAATTTTATGCCACTATACATATAAGAACCTAAAAAGAATATGATTTCATTTTCTCTCTTCTGTGCTTTGTGCTATTATTGGCATATATTTTGTTTCTATACATTTATAAACTAATATAATTTATTACTGTTGCTTTAAATAGTCAATAATCTTTTATCTAGCATATCTAATTTATTTTTAACAATCTCAGGCTTATACAGAAGTTGTAAGTACAGAACAAGAACTTTATTTATTTATTTATTATTTACTTTATTTTTTATTTCGGCATATTACGGGGTACAGATTTTAAGGTTTCAATAAATGCCCATTACTCCCTTCCTCCCACAAGTCTGAGTCTCCAGCATGACCATCCCCCAGATGGTGCACATCTCACTCATTATGTATGAATATACCCGCCCCACTCCCCCACTCCCACGTAACCAATACCCTATTACTGTAGTACCTATGTGTCCACTTAGGTGCTGCTCAGTTAATACCAGTTTGCTGGTGAGTATATGTGGTGCTTGTTTTTCCATTCTTGGGAAACTTCACTTAATAGTATGGGTTCCAGCTCTAACCAGGAAAATATAAGATGTGCTATATCACCGTTGTTTCTTAGAGCTGAATAGTACTCTATGGTATACATATACCACATTTTATTAATCCATTCTTGGATTGATGGACACTTGGGTGGTTTCCACAGCCTTGCAATTATGAATTGTGCTGCTATAAACATTTGAGTGCAGGTGTCCTTTTTGTAGAGTGTCATTGGATCTTTTGGTTAGATGCCTAGTAATGGGATTGCTGGATCAAATGGTAGATCCACTTGTATCACTTTAAGGTATCTCCAACTAGTTCCACAGATGTAGAACTAGTTTGCAGTCCCACCAGCAGTGTAGGAGTGTTTCTCTCTCTCCGCATACACGCCAGCATTTCATTTATTGTTTGGAGACTTTTTGATAAAGGCCATTCTCACTGGAGTTAAGTGATATCCCATTGTTGTTTTGATTTGCATTTCCCTGATGATTAGAGATGTTGAGCATTTTTTCATATGTTTGTTGGCCATTCTTCTGTCTTCTTTAGAAAAGTTTCTGTTCAAGTCCTTTGCCCACTTTTTAATAGGGTTATTTGATTTTTTTCTTGCTGATCTTGGTGAGTTCTAAGTATATTCTAGTTATCAGCCCCTTATCGGATGCGTAGGATGCAAAAATTTTCTTCCATTCTGTAGTGTCTGTTTTTACTTTCATGACTATTTCTTTGGCTGTGCAGAAGCTTTGTAGTTTGATCATGTCCCATTTATTTATTTTTGTTGCTGCTTTGATTGCCTCCGGGGAATTCTTCATAAACTCTTTGCCTAGGCTGATGTCTAGGAGAGTGTTTCCAACATTTTCTTCCAGAATTCTAATAGTTTCATATCTTAGGTTTAAGTCTGTTATCCAGTGAGAGTTGATTTTTGTGAGAGGTGAAAGGTGTGGGTCCTGCTTTAGCCTTCTACAGGTGGCTATCCAGTTTTCCCAGCACCATTTATTGAAAAGGGATTCTTTTCCCGACCGTACATTTTTGTCTGCTTTGTCAAAGATTAGATGACTATATGAGGATGGTTTCATATCAGGATTCTCAGATCTGTTCCACTGGTCAATATTCCTATTTTTGTGCCAATACCAGATTGATTTAATTACTACAGCTTTGTAGTATAGTTTGATATCTGGCATATTAATGCCTCCCATTTTGTTTTTGTTGCCTAGAATTGCTTTTGATATTCGGGGTCTTCTCTGATTCCATACGAAGCATTAAATTATTGTTTCTATATCTGAGAAGAATGCTGATGGGATTTTAATAGGTATTGCATTGAATCTGTAGATCAGTTTGGGTAGTATAGACATTTTAATGATGTTGAGTCTGCCGATCCATGACATGTGTTGGATTTCCATGTGTTTACATCCTCTGCTATTTCCTTCCTCAGTGTTTTATAGTTCTCCCTGTAAAGGTCTCTAACCTCCTTGGTTAAGTATATTCCTAGGTACTTTAATTTCTTTGTTGCTATTGTGAAGGGAATTGAGTCTTTGATTTGGTTCTCAATTAGATTGTTGTTGGCGTATATGAATGCCTCTGATTTCTGTGTATTGATTTGTATCCTGAGACTTTACTAAATTCATTGATCAGTTCCAGGAGTTTCTTGGTTGAATCTTTGGGGTTTTCTAGATATAATATGATATCATCAGCAAACAGTGAAAGTTTGATCTCTTCTGCCCCTATTTGGATACCTTTGATTCCATTTTCCTGTCTGATGGCTGTAGCCAAGACTTCCAGCACTATGTTGAACAGAAGTGGAGATAGTGGGCAGCCTTGTCTGGTTCCAGTTATAAGTTGGAATGATTTCAATTTTTCCCCATTCTGTATGATGTTGGCTATGGGTCTGTCATATATGGCTTATATCATTTTTAGGTATGTCCCTTCTATGCCTGTTTTCTGAAGTGTTCGTATCATGACAGGGTGTTGAATTTTGTCAAAAGCTTTCTTTGCATCTGTTGAAAAAATCATGTGGTCTTTGTTTTTGCTTCTGTTTATGTGGTGAATTGCATTTATAGATTTACATATGTTGAACCATCTCTGCATCCCTGGGATGAAGCCCACTTGGTGGTGATGGATTATTTTTTTGAAAAGCGTCTGGATTCGGTTAGCTAAAATTTTGTTGAAAATTTTTGCATCTATATTCATTAGGGATATTGGTCTGTAGTTTTTTTTTTGTTGCATCCTTTCCTGGTTTTGGTATCAGAGTAATATTCACTTCATAAAAGGTGTCGGGGAGGTTTCCGTTCTTCTCAATGTTGTGGAATAGTTTCTGCAAGATAGGTACTAGTTCTTCTTTGTAAGTGTGGTAAAATTCAGGTGTGAAACCATCTGAACCGGGACTTTTCTTTTTAGGGAGATTTTTAATTGCTGTTTCTATTTCAGCAGTTGAGATTGGTCTGTTCAAGAAATCTATTTCTTCCTGGTTGAGCCTAGGGAGGCTGTGTGTTTCTAGAAATTTGTCCATTTCCTCCACATTTTCCAGTTTGTGTGCATAAAGATTTTTGTAGTATTCATAAATTATATCTTGTATCTCTTTGGGATCAGTTGTCATATCTCCTTTGTTGTTTCTGATGGAGCTTATTAGAGATTTCTCTTTTCTGCTTTTTGTTAGCTTAGCCAATGATGTGTCACTTTTGTTTATTTTATCAAAGAACCAACTTTTTTTTTTTTTTTTGAGTCAGAGTCTCGCTTTGTTGTCCAGGCTAGAGTGAGTGCTGTGGCGTCAGCCTAGCTCACAGCAACCTCAAACTCCTGGGCTCAAGCGATCCTACTGCCTCAGCCTCCCGAGTAGCTGGGACTACAGGCATATGCCACGATGCCCGGCTAATTTTTTATATATATATCAGTTGGCCAATTAATTCTTTGTATTTTAGTAGAGACGGGGTCTCACTCTTGCTCAGGCGGTTTTGAACTCCTGACTCGAGCAATCCACCCGGCTCGGCCTCCCAGAGAGCTAGGATTACAGGCGTGAGCCACCGCGCCAGGCCGCAACTTTTTGTTTTATTAATTTCCTGAATAGCTTCCCTGTTTTCAATTTTGTTTAATTCTGATTTGATCTTGTTGGTTTCACTTCTTCTGCTGGGTTTGGGGTTGGTCTGTTCTTCTTTTTCCAGCTCTTTGAATCGTTTGGTTAGATTGTCTATTCGTGATCTTCTTGTGTTTTGGTTATAGGCTTTTATGGAGATAAACTTTCCTCTCAGAACTGCTTTAGCTGTGTCCCAGAGGAGTTGATAACTTGTCTCTCCATTGTCGTTTTCTTCATAGAATTTTTTTATTTCCATCTTGATTTCTTCATTTATGAAGTAATCATTTAGTAGGAGGTTGTTTAATTTCCACGTTTTTGTGTAGAAATGTGAGTTTCTGTTAGGGATGACTTCTACTTTTATACCCCTGTGATCTGAGAAGGTACATGGTATGATTTCTGTTTTTTTAAATTTCTTGAGATTTATTTTGTGTCCTAGGATATGTCAATCTTAGAGAATGTCCCGTGAGCTGATGAGAAGAACGTATATTCAGTGGATTTTGGGTAGAATGTCCTGTAAATGTCAGTCAGACCCAATTGTTCTAGAATTTTGTTTAAGTCTATTATTTCTTTATTAATTTTAAGTTTGAAGGATCTGTCTTGTGCCATCAGTGGGGTGTTGAAATCTCCGGTGATTATGGAGTTGCTATTAATCCATTTGCTTAGATCCAGTAAGGTTTGCTTTATGAATCCAGGTGCACCTAAGTTGGGTGCATATATATTTATATTGTTATCTCTTCTTGTTGAAGTGTGCCCTTCACCATTATATAATGACCCTCTTTGTGTTTCACTACTTTTTTTGGTTTAAAAACTAAATCGTCTGCAATTAGAATTGCCATGCCAGCCTTCTTTTGGCTTCCACTTTCCTGGGGTACTGATCTCCACCC